GATTAGGTTGGGTCTTCATCAATCTCTTTTGAGATACAAAAGAGAGAAGGGAGCAGAGAGACATGGGGACCTCATACCACAAAGAAAGCGGCGCGGGAAGCAGAGTGTGTCCTTTGGACCCGAGGTTCCTGCGCTGAAAAGCTCCTAGACAAGGGGGAGATTGATGACCAGGACCTTCCCCCCAGAACTGACAGAGAGAAAGCCTTCCCCTAGAGCTGGCGCCCTGAATTTGGACTTTTAGCCTCCTAGACTGTGAGAGAATATATTTCTCTTTGTTAAAGCCATTCACTTGTGGTATTTCTGTTATAGCAGTACTTGATAACTAAGACAGACCCTATTTCCAAAAAAGGTCACATTGACATTCCAGGTGGACATGAATTTGGGGGGGGACACTATTCAAACCAGTACTGATATCTAACAGACTCTGAAACTTGACAGAACTCATGACTAAAACACAACTCTTCATTTTCACCCAACCTAAAATCTGCTCCTGCTTCAGTTTCGATCTCTGTAAATGGCAATTTCACTTGCCATTTGGCAGTGCTCAAGCCAAAAACTTTTAAGTCTCCTTCTCTCCCATTCCACATCCAATTAATCAGTATATCCTATAGCCTCTACTTTCAAAATACATCCAGAATCCAACCACTTTCCCCCATTTCCACTGATAGCACCCTAGTCTAAGCGACAACCATCTGTCATCTGGATTACTGAAAGTCTCCATCTTTCCTTCCCTGGCCCCCTGCAGTCTATCACCATAAAGCAGCCAACTGAACCCTCTAAACCAAATTAAAATGTCACTCCTGTACCCTCCACATTCCAAAGGTGTTGCAGTAAATTTTTAATGAAATCTAAACCCCAGACATCATCTGTAAGGCCCTACAAGCGGTCTTTCCAGCTCTATTTCTTACTCCCTTAATCACAGTGCTCTCATCACACTGGCCTCCTTGCTGTCCTCAGCAAATTATTAAACCAAATTTATAATACAATTCTATTTTTAAATATCATATATGTACATTTGCATTAAAAAGTCACAAAGGATAGACACAAAATGTAAATTACAATTACAGGTAGTAAGATTAAAAATTTTCATTTTTTCTTATTGCAAAAAAGGTGTATTAGTAAAAAAATATTAGTTATGTGTGATTTTTATGCATTACTTTTGTAACAAAATATATGAAAAACTGTGCACAAAATGCCTTACACCTAAAGTAGCAATGGCATTTAACTATATACAAAAATCTGAAAATAAACCATATGTGTCACAACAAAGAAAACCAAAAAACCCTCGCTTATAATTATAGCTAGCATTTACTAATAAATGTGCCAGGTACTTCCACTCTCTCATATAATTCTCACAATAACCCTGAAATTAGAACTATCATCTTGTTACTGGTGTGTAAATTGAGGCTGAAAATAAGTTGTTCAAAGATGCACAGTAAGTGGTGAAGCCCAGGTTTGTCTGACTTGAATGTTAACGTTCTGAATAGTACGTTAGATGCTGCCTCAATATCTAGTGCAAACCTTGAAACAACCTAGATATATCCCTATAAGAAGGGAGATATTATGTAATTATGAAAATATTTACTGAAGCTAGAATTATGTAAAAATTGATATACGAAAAAGAAAATTATCACACTTTATACATATATGACTGCAAGAAATTTATTATTTCATATGGAAAAAGATTAAAATAGGTCAATATGTTAACATTGGTTAAGTTTGGGTAATGGGACTCTTGGGTGGTTTTAATTTTTTTCTTTTTGTTTGTCGTATTTTCCAGATTTTCATAAACGCACAATTACTTTTAAAATACATTATTTTGGAATATAGGGAAAGGATTTTGTTCTTTTGTGTTGGAATAAAGGAAAAACTTAACCAGTTACAAATCCCAAGACTAGGTCTAACTAGAGCCTAAAGCGTTATCTACCAGGTAATCTATATTACTTTGACATTAAGGAACTCAACATGGACCAAGAGTTGTCTTCAAAGGATTATATCATACTATTTATTTTTGCTTGTAGCCTACTTCATAATGAGCCTATTAAGAGCTTATTGGGATTATTGATGTCAGCAATAATGTCAAACAATCCGTTTCCACTGGTGGCACATAATCAAAAATATTTTCAAACATGTTTATCTTCTATGGAACTGAATTAATAACACTTAAAAGGAAGCATGAAAGACGGTAAGAAAAAGTTGAAGTCCTCAAAAATGCTTGCCCCCAAAACCTTTTCCCCATGCCTATAAACTTTCTGTATTGTTTGGGCGGAGAAGGGCGCAAGTGCTGGGGTTTTCGCGGTCTCTGTCACCAAGTGTCTCCGCTAGATTGAACGCGGCCTCCGCGGGACTCAGTGGTGTGGCCGGGAAGCAAGCCCAGCGACGCCCGGTCCGCCGGCCGGGCTACACCGGCCAGGGTTCTTGCCTCTACTTACTCCTCGGGCCGGCACAGAGGCTCTGGAAAACAGCCTCGACTGTAAAGGCGGATTGTGGCGAACCCGCTAGGGACTCGCAGGGAGACGGCAATAAGGTCCTACGCGCCGCAGGAAGGGCGGGCTCCGACAGGAAAAAGTCCGCAGCCCCTCAGGCCCGCTGGGCGGACCGCGGGTGGACAATCAACCTGGCTCTCCGGAGGCTAGCCCCGCTCCCGCCCCGGGCGCGCGCACGCACGCACGTACGGCTCTCTCCGGCGCAGCGCACTCACTGAACCCCGCCCTCTTAGGGTGCTGCGTCTGGTTGGGTGGTGCCCGCCAAGTTCGCAAGGAAAAGGCGCTGCAAGGAAATGTTCGGCCTAACTTTGGTGCTTAATAAATGTTTGCTGAATGATCAGACTAACACGTAGAAGCCTTCAAAACACCAGACTTCTGCAAAACTACACCAACGTAGTTTTGGGTGAGTCCTGACAAATATTCCTACTTCACCCGCCAAACTGGTGGCCTTGTGCAAGTGAAGTTGGTGAGAATTTTTTAAAGGAAACCTTGCTAGCATCATTTTCTGAAACTATTTGTACTGTGCGCTTTTTGAAAAGCTGAATGGCTTGCCCAGGTCTAAACTTAGCCGGACAAAATCTGGCTTCAAACCTGAACAACCTTAGCGCCTACTATTGCCCCCCTCCTACACTCAAAGTGTTGTAGACAAGGGAAAATAGGTATTTTTGGGTTCCACTCCATTGCTCTTTCCAATTACCTTCGTTCAACAAATATTTGAATACCAAAGAGCTGTGGGTGGGTATTCAACAAGTAGATGCTAAACAAGATGGCACTTCTGTGAGAAGCAGCAAGGTAAGAAGGAAAGAGCACAGACTTGGGAGTCAGAATTTATTTTAAATCCTGGCTTGCCACTTAGGAACTGAGTCATCATAAGCAAGTTACCTTAACTCTTAGGGACAGTTTTCTCACCCACAAAACGTTATAACAGGAACTGACCCAACCTTCTCCTTTTGCCTTCAAGTATATTATTCTAGTTATTTCCAAGATGAGGTCGTTTATAGATTTGTACAAATACACTAATTAGTTTATATTTTAATGATATACTTGAGAAATTTTTGACTCAATGACACATGGCCTTGCCCTCACGGGGGTGGGGGGGCAGGTAATATGAACATTAACTGTAAATACAAGGCTGAATTCATAATGGTTGAAAAGGCATATGAGGATGGGAACCTAGAGGTAAGAACAATTAAAACAAACCCACTGCGGTAGAATGGATTCAGACTCATAGCGACCCTGTAGGACAGAGTAGAACTGCCCCATAGGGTTTCCGCTGTACTGATGGTGCATAATTGGCGCCCTGGTGACATAGTGGTTAAGAGCTCGGCTGCTAACCAAAAAGTGGGCCATTCAAATCCATCAGCCGCTCCTTGGAAACCGTATGCAACAATTCTACTCTGTCCTATACGGTTGCTATGAATCAACTTCACGGCAAAGGGTTTTAGTACCTAGATATATGGTTGAAAATAAAAACCATTCTTGACATATTTCTGAAAACTTTTCCTTCAAAGAACCCTTCCAAGTTATACCTGAATCTAATTGTTAAGAATGGGAGTAATCTTTTCTGAAGACAACGATATAATTTAGGACCATATAAAGAAATGCTACAATCCTGGGGAAAAATCCACAAAAATCAGCAATTTTCCAAGGAATAATTTAGTGTTCCACATTATTAAAAGCCGGGGGCGGGGGGGGGGAGGCTTAATGGAATTTAGCCAACCAGTGCCTTATTTTGTTAGAATATTTGGAACTCTTTCCCTGTGGAAATCAAGAAATACATTCTAGACCAAACCCAAACTCAAGAGTATGGAGAAAGCTGTCTCTCACTCTTTTTCTTTGGAGGAATTTAAGAATCTACCTGGCTCTCCAAGAGCCACTAAATGTTGTCACATACAATATTTCATTACTGTAGAGTCCATTATTAAAGAAAAACAAAATCACACAAAGCAATTTGGATCAAAAAATAAAAAGAATTACTTAAAAAATCAGTTTTCAGAACCAAAAAACTGAATGACTCTTGAATTGTTATTCTCAGACTTGGCAGAAGTTGAAACTAAGATGCAAAGTTTCAAATAAATGTATCAATAATAGTTCATCTTAAAAGACATTTACATTCTAGGCACAGTATTATCAAAGTGCTCTTCTACAAACCTTCCCTTAATACCACTTCAGACAACCGTCTAGCCAGGTGGTAAAGCACTTACTACTCCCCTAACAGAGGACAGGATCAAAATAATTATTTCGTTTGCCCTAGTTTAAGAAAATTTTTAACCCAACTTCTGGGCCCCACAGCAAATGAGTTTTCGGATCTGCACATGCGATACCCATATCCCACCCCCTTTTCCAGAAATCTCAAGACCATATCCTGGTTCCAGCACTGACTTGCTACCCACGGGGCCCAATCTTCGACCCTTACGTCGTAGGCAAGCACCGCCCCCAAGATCCCGGAAGTGGCGTCATGACGCTAGGCGCTCGTCCCCGGATGCAGGGTTTTATATCCGGATTCTTAGAGTCGACTCACATCTTTGCGTTCGCCTACGCGTTCAGCACATGCGCGACGGTTCTTTTTCCTCTTCCTCCACTACCGCCTGCCTCCACCGTCCGGCCAGCCGCTGCCGCTACCGCCAAGAAGTCAGGAAGTTCAAGATGGCCGCCGCGGAGATTCCGTCGCTGCGGGAGCAGCCAGAGTAAGCGGTCTCTGTTAGTGGTCCGGAAGGTTGAAGTTGGGTTATGCCGAGCGGGAGCCGGCGGAGACTTGCAAGGACGGGCGGGAAAGTTCAGGCCTAACGACAAGAGCCAAACTTTGTTTTCCCCGCGCGATTCGTTGTGGGGCGGGAGGCGTGGGGAGCGGGCGGGCGGCCTTGGAGCCTCGCTCTCCCAGAGGCCGCCGCTGTTGGGTCGGAGGCCGACGCGGCCTGCTGCGCGTCGTTGCCCCGGGAGGCGTAGGCGCGAGCGGCCTCTACAGGTCCGGTGCGCGTGGCGGCTGCAGCGACGGTGAGGGTCGCGCCTTCCTCTTCCTCCGACGCGTAGCGGTTCTCCCTGTACGCAACACTCAGCGACTCAGCGACATCGGTGTTGGGGACCCGAGAAGTAGTGGCGGCAGGCGTCGCAAGCCCTAAGTCTTTTCTTCCCATGCGGTACCCCCCGTCGCCCTGTTACTGGTTGTTTTAAGATCTGGAAGCAGAGAGGAGAAGACGTTCTGGGGCCACACTGTTTGACCATCCCAGATCTATAGTTTGCGGGTAGCTGAATACTTCCATATTCTCACCCCTGTATTCTCTACTCCAGCCCATTGGCAGTTTATTTGCCAACTTGCAAACTTGAGTCAAAGTGAGATACAGTCGTTGGTTTTGAGGCCTGGCATTTTTGGCCTGAGTTTTTTAGGAGGAGGAGACGAAGAAGTAGTGGAAATTCTTCGCTATTTCCAAACCAGAGCACTTTATGCCTGTAATTAACCTAATATAAGAATCCAAGCCAAGTGAAAACATACTTTTGCATGCTGCAAAGGCTCAGGATTGTTTAACTAAAAGCAGTATTTTGTTTTTCGTGTTTATGTTAGGAAAACTGCAGACAGTCTGAAAGAGAAATGGATTTTTAAACAATATTCCTATAGCGACCGTTTTTTGCACGTGCATTATCTAATTTGTTTCTAGCCATTTTAGGAAAGGGGTAGATATAGTCTCCCAGCAACTTGTGACTGGAAGATAGGACAAACCTTTGCTACTGGACGGCCTGACACTTCATTGCTGTGCATCCTGTTCTGGACTCCTCAGAATGATTTGCTTTACTCTACTATACAGAATTATACTAAGTTTTTCAGTAAGGGGTTTTGAAAGCTACTTTATTATCTTCACAATTTGACTTAAGATTTCCAAACTAGTACCATATAGACTTAGCTTCCTGTTGTTTCTGATTGAGTTCATTGTGTGGCACAGTTACAGCATTTATACCAGTGCAGTACAAATCTTATACTATGCAATTGATTTTTCTAGTAGTCTGTCAAAAGCTCTGTAGTATTATATCCATTTAGAAAACCCTGTGGGGCAGTTCTTCTCTTTCACATGGGGTCTCTATAAGTTGAAAGTGACTTGATAGCACCTAACAGCAGGGTTGGTTCAGATTCATTTTGAGGATCAGTTCAGCTGTATTTTATTCATATTCAAATAATGCATTTAAAATAACCTTATGTATATTTAAAAAGCCATTGCCATTGAGTTGATTCCGACCCGTAGTGACCCAGGGTGGTGCAGTGGTTAAGCGTTTGGCTGCTAACCAGAAGGTCGGTGGTTCAAATCCACCAGGTGCTCCTTGGAAACCCTGTGGGGGAGTTCTGCCCTGTTCCATAGAGTCGCTATCGGTCGGAATCGACTTGACAGCAGTGGGTTTATGTATATTTGTTTAGGCCCCTGCAATATGAATGGCACCTTTCCCCACAACAGAGCAATTGGTGTTAATGAAATTTTACTTGGTCTTTGTCTTACTTTCATTTATTTGAAAACATTTAACAAAGGAAATAATACTTTGATATGAAAGCAAGTGCTATGCATGCTGGTGCTCATAGTGAGTACTCGAATGTAATAGTTTACAATTATATGGTGCGGTGAAATGGATCACTTTTATATGGCTTTTGTCACTACGGTCTTGTAGTTACCATCAAATGCCTGGGTGGGACTATGCAGATGAGGTGCTTGTGGCCCACCAAGGGGATTGGACAACTTGCTAATAATACAGATAAGGTGTATGGAACTATAAAGAGGGATTGGTTAGTTTTGCCATCCTGCTAGGCTTAATGAGCCATTCCAGAGGCAGACAAGCGGGTCCACACTACCACCAAGAAAGAAGAGCAAGGAGTGGAGCCTGTCCCTTGGACCTGGGATCCCTGCAGTGAGAGCCTCTTAGACCCAGAAGACAGAAGCAGTGGCAGAGAAATAGCAGCAGCAGAGGCAGCAGAACCAGGAGATGACGCGGTCTGCCGCACATGGAGCAAGAACTCTGAGCACCTTCGGGCAGGAGGCTTTCTGGCAGAGTAGGGTGCCTCTGGGCACTTGGCAGAGCTAGGCTTAACAGACCCATGGAGTGAGGTAGCCGAGTGCCTTTGAGCCAAGGCTTCCTGGCAGAGTGGGATGCCTCTGAGCACTTATCATTGGAGCTAAAGAGCTTTGTAACATTTGCCTGAGCAGGGCAGAGGCCAGGCCAAGGGCCTGAGGGCCAGAGAGAGGCCTGCCTGCAGAGGTGGCAGGAAAGAGGCTGTCCTGATAGAAAAACTGTATCCTGAGTCATTTCTGATCCTGAACTGTAACCTGTTACTTCCCTGGAGAAGGGCATCATGCTTGGTAAAGTAGAGAGTCAGCAAAAAAGAGGAAGACCCTCAATGAGATAGATCGACACAGTGACTGCAACAATGGGCTCAAGCATAACAGTTGTGAGCATAGTACAGGATTGGTCAGTGTTTCGTTCTGTTGTACATAGAGTTGCTATGTATGAGTCGGAATTGACTCGACGGTGCCTAACAACAATTCCCTAACAAACCCCAGAACTGTGGATATGGTCTGTGAGTTCTGTGTGGCCATTGCACCAAATTTTCGAACCCAGCAGAGAAATAGAGAGTGCCATAGGAGGGACAGCTGGTGTCAGAATTGATTAAAAAAAGGTGGGAGAGAGGAAATATGTCTGACCTCTCCTCATATGAATCAGCCATTGGCTGATGCTGTTGGTCTTGATTCTCCTTCTCTCTTCTGAAGTTAAATGAGGAGGTCAGACGCCCCCACTGCCATACCATTCTTACATATGGAATCTTTTCAAAATATAAAACTTAGAATAAATATAAAAAAGATTTTAAGCTCCCAAAGGCTTTTTAATGTAGTGGCATTTGTCAGTTTTTTCATCTCAGCCTTTTTAATGGGTTTAAACATTTAAAATTTTATATGTACTGATTTATTTGCACTAAGTACCAGGTGCTAGTCAAACACACTGAACAAATAAACTTATTTAATCCTTGTGACAACTCTGTGGAGGTAGATACTGTTACTTTCCGTATTCTACAGATGATGAAACTGAAGCATAGAGAAATTAAGTACCTTGCCCGAGGTCACACCAGGTGGCAGACCCAGGATTTAAATCCAGGCAGTCTGGTTCCAAGGAGCCCTGGTGACACAATGGTTAAGCGCTTGACTGCTAACCAGAAGGTCAGTGGTTTGAACCCACCAGCCACTCCACAGGTGAAAGATGTGGCAGTCTGCTTTCGTAAAGATTTATAGCCTTGGAAATCCTATGGGGCAGTTCTACTCTGTCCTGTAGGGTCACTATGAGTCAGAATTAGCTCGATGGCAATGGCGTGTTTTGTTTTGTTTTGTTTTGTTTTGTTTTGTTTTGTTTAAGTCTGGTTGCAGAACCTAACTACAGTACTGTCTCTGGTCTCTCACTATGCAGTAATGCTGCCTTTTAAAAATAGCTTGTAAAGTTTCAAATAGTCTTTCTTGGGTCTCAGAAAGGGTCCATTTTTTGATGTGACATTTCTAGTTCTTTGAAACTTAAATTTCTCAAATGTGAATTGAGGAAAGGGGATAGGGGATTTGTTTTAAGGCTGGCTAGCCTTTTGGATCCATTTTATTTTTTACATCGACATGAATTCTTTCTGTATTAAAAGTATTTTTTAACTTGTCAGAGATACAGTCCTAGTTAATTTCCTCGGAAAGAAGCAGTGGCATTCAGTTTGCTTACTGTTAAATAATTATTTTAAGAAAAATTGTCTGTCTTGAAAACTGTTCCGTTTGTATGCATATTTAGTTTTCTGTCTCTGAATCATAAACTGAATGTCTCCTAAATTAGATTCATTAAGAATATTCTTTGAAAGAGTGTGTGAAAGAGGGAATAAAATAACACTAGGCAGCAGAAGCTAGTATTTGGTCATTTAGTACTATTTTAAAGTTGTTATATAATTGTTTTTATTGTGCCACGTGACCTAGGTTGTTTAAAGGGTAAGACTTGTATGTTAGACTTAACAAAACAAATTAACAAATACTATTAAAACATCCCCATGTTGTCTGCCTTTCAGATTCAGCTGTATTTGTTGTCAGTATACACTATTCCAGAAGACCGTCAGGTTTTCTAAAACTTCAGAAGAAGGTTGCTGATAACAAATAAATAGCCTTAGCATAGCGCCTTGTATGTAATATACCGTAGACTCATTTGAGTCCAAGTGTTCCTGATGTACCTGGTCAGACCTCAATCTTTATTTTCTGTGAAATTTGCTTTGAGAGGAGATTGAAGGTCTGCTATGTGACTAAGCCCAGTAGAGGAGAACTTAAGGATTACTAAAGTTAGCCTAGCTAGCTGTAATTTAGCCGTTATTTCTTGAGATAACACTCATTACATTAGAAACTGGGGTCACTCCTGATATGAATCTGGGGATCGTGATGTTTCCTTTGGAAGGAAATCTTTTCGTCTGTTCCTCTATGGGTAAGTTCTAGTAATTTTGGATTGAAACTTCTTAGAAGACTTACAAATTGTTCTTAGCATTAGAAAAGATAAAAGTTCAAAGAGCAGATTTTTCTTCGGGAAAACCCATACCAGTTGCTGTTGATTGTGACCCGCGGAGGGGGGGAGGTGTTAGAGTAGAACTGTGTGCTCCATAGGGTTTTCAATGGCTGATTTTTCAGAAGTAGATTGCTAGCCCTCACTTCCGAGGTGCCTCTGGCTGGACTTGAACTTCAGCCTTCGGTTAGCAGCCCAGTGTGTTAGCCATTTGCACTATCCAGGGACTCCTTCTTTGGGAAGGGGCAATTAAATTTAAATAATTTGTAGTATTGTGCATTCAACACATATTTGTGTGCTGAGGTCCCTAGAGGAGCCCTGGTGGTGCAACCGCTTGGCTGCTAACTGAAAGGTTGGTGGTTTGAACCCACCCAACGGCTCCAGAGGAGAAAACCTAATGTTCTGCTCCCGTAAAGATTACAGCCTACAAAACCTTATGGGACAGTTCTACTCTGTCACATGGGGTTGCTGTGAATCAAAATTGACTCGATGGTACCTAACAACAACAAGGTTCTTAGGTGGCTCAAACAGTTTGCGCTCTACTGCTAACCTAAGGTTGGTGGTTGGAAGTCTCCCAGCAGTACTGTGGAGGAAAAGCCCTGGTAATCTGCTTCCATTAAGAATTATGGGCAAGAAAATCCTGTGGAGCCGTTCTACTCTAATACACAGGATCGCCATGAGTCGTAATTGACTCAAGGGCAACTGACAGCAACTAGTATGTGTACACCGTGAGACATTGAAGTTACGGCATCTTCCCTATCGAGCTAAGAGACTAAAGTAATGGCATATATAGTTTTATATGTTATTTTATATAGTTCATTTCATTAACTTAGCAAGTATTTATTGAGTAGCTATTATGATACTTAATGACTACCTAGGCCCTAAGGATAGAGCAGTGAACTAAACAGATAAAGATTTTGCTCTCATAGGACTTATGTTATAAAAGGGAGAAACAGTCAAGAATTAAACAAGTAAAATATGTGGTATATTCCAAACCAAAACTCATCAACGAGTCAATTCTGACTCATAGTGACCCTATAGGACAGAGCAGAACTGCCACATAGGGTTTCCAAGGAGTGCCTTCTGGATTCGAACTGCTGACCTTTTGGATAGCAGCCGAACTCTTAACCACTGCACCACCAGAGCTCCGTGTGGTATATTAGGTAGTGGCAATTGCCTGCAGAAAAATTGATGATACAGGGAATGTCTTCTCGTACACCATTAGAGAGAAGTCAGCCCAGACTAAAACTCGAGTGCCTCCAGAGTACACATCTTCCTCTGTAGATCTTTCAGTTGTTGTTGTTTTGTTCTGTCTAGTCAGTTCCAGGGATAGAACTGCTCCAGAGTTTCCGAGGCTGTAATCTTTACCGGAGCAGATTGCCAGGTCTTTTCTCCTATGGAGCAGCTGACGGGTTTGAACCACTGACCTTTAGGTTAGCAGTCAAGCGCTTAACCATTATGCCACCAAGGTTCCTAGATCTTTCAGTAGAGGCTACTTTTTCTTTTCATACTTACCACGTACCAGAAACAGAGGTCGGCAATCTGACACCCAAAAGTCAAAGTTCTTTTTAGTTTTATGTCATGTGGTGGCTGTCTTGTTCTCCACACCCCTTGATTGTTGTCATCTAATAACTTCTCAGTCATACCCCGTCCCATGTGTGTACTGAAGACCGTGAGATTCTATACCCAACTCCTGCCATAATTTTCAGAAATAGTAGCGTCATCGTAGACAACTCATCCAGCGACCTAGCCTTGCAGTTCCTGGGCCTCTGTGACTCCAGTGAACCTTTAATTCTATCTCAACCGCTTGCTCCCAAAATCTCATACTATATCTTGTCATCTTCTGGAGTCGGTCCATTTAGGATCTTAAACCTGCGTTATACCAATTTCTTCCAAAAATAGTTTGTGCCTTGGCAACACTTGTCAGCTTGTAGTTCTCTATGCATAACTATGCCTTTTGTCATCTGTTTCCTCTAAGATAGGAGTCCCTAGGTGACGCAGTCTTAAATGACTACTAACCGAAAGGTTAATGGTTTGAACCCACCCGGAGGCACCTCGGAAGAAAGACCTGGCAGTCTGGTTCTAAGGTCACAGCCTTGATGTGGTGTGATGGATCACTTTTATATGGCCTTTTTGCCCTAGTCTCGTAACTGCCACCAAATGATTGGGTGGGAGTATACAAATAAGGTGCTTGTGGCCCACCAGGGGGATTGGACAGCTTGCTAATGATGCAAATAAGGTGCATGGCACTCTTGTGAAGGTGAGACCATGAAAATAAGGTGTGTGGAACCCTAACGAGGGGATTTGTCAGTTTTGCCATCCCACTAGGCTTAAAATGAGTCATTTCAGAGGCTGTCCTCATGGAAGAACTGTGTATCCTGAGTCCTTCCTGATCCTGAACTGTAACCTATTACCTCCCTAATAAAACCCATAACTAGGAGAGTTGTGAGTTCTGTGTGGCTATTCTCAAATTATCAAACCTACCAGATAAGTAGAGAGTGCTGTGGCAGGGGCAGCTGGTGTTAGAATTGGTTAAAAAAAAAAAAAAAAAAGTTGGAGAGAGGAGGTATGTCTGACCTTTGCCTCATAGGAATCAGCCTTGGGCTGATGCTACTGATGGTGATTCTCCCCCCCTCGTGAAGTTAGACGAGGTCAGACACACACCGCAGCGCCATTTTCACACTTGAAAACCCTATAGAGTGCAGTTCTACTCTGCACACATGGGGTCACCATGAGTCAGAATCAACTTTGTTTTTCTACTACCTGGCCTAATGCCTACATGTGGCAGGAGATTTTTTTTTAAATGTTGAACAGACTCATGAATTCTTGCAATAGCATAACCTTACTAAAAGTATGAGAGTTTGTAATTTGAAAGACTCGGACAAAACATGTCTTCCTCCAGAAATAAATAGTATGATGGCTTGAATCCAAATAAAGTCTGGTTTTGGTCTCATTGTAGGACATGATAGTTTATTGTGGAGTGATTTTAAAGGGGAAAGTTAAATGATGCTATTGTAGCCTGTATTTAACCTGGAATTACTGAACACAAAGGGCTTAACAAAATAATTTAGAATAATATCTCGACATTTTCTGAACATTTAAACACAGAAACCCCCCCCCTTACTTTTTTTTTTTTTTTTGCATATTTTGGTAAACTAATCTCTCCCGTTGAAATTCAGAGAGATTAAATAACTTGTTGAGCTAGATACTAGGTTGAACCATATGAAATCACTTGATATTTGACTGATTTTGACCTGCAAAAAAAGGGCATTTCCATATGGTTCTGCCTAGTAAGCACATAGTTGCTTGGTGGCAGGTACTAGAAGTGAATTGAGAGAGTCCAAACTCCTGATTGGAGCCCTGGTGCAGTGGTAATGAGTTTGGCTGCTAACCAGAAGGTCAGCAGTTCAGATCTACCAGCCGCTTCTTGGAAACCCTATGGGGCAGTTCTCCTCCATCCTAGAGGGTCACTATGAGTCAGAATTCACTCAACAGCAACAGGTTTGGTTTTTTTGTTTGTTTTTTAACTCCGGGTTAGTTCTCTTTGAAGTTGGAACTCTTGGGAGTGTGTTTACATTGTCAACATCAGCCACCCATGTTTATCGAGTGCTTATGTTGTCTATAGTTCAGTATTAGCTCTGGAGATTTAAAAACAGAAAAGATATAAGATGAAATCTTCTCAGAACAAATGAGACAACAAGCTTTCTCCTGAATGTTAAGTGGAGAAAGATATTAGTTCCTAATATATGTTAAATTGCTTTATAAAAAAAGAAAATTGAAGGGTGTCCTTAAGTATGTGTGGGAAATGCTGGTTTAAAAATCAGCTTACTGTTTTATCTATTCAATATTAATTTACTAAGATTTTGCTATATCTAGTTTAGATTCCTTTTCTCTAGTAACTGTAATTTTTTTTTTACCTCCCCCCCCCATTGTGCATTTCCTCTAATACTTCTGATATGTGGGTTCAACGATTAGAAACAAAGTTATGATAAACTAAGTTGCACCCAGGTCAGTTCTTGCCATATATACCTTCTTTGAAATAAAATGCTTGAAACTCTTCTGAGAAAATTTTAGTGATTATCTAATTTCATGTATTAAATGGAGATGTATTTTATCATTACTGTTTTGTTTCAACTTTTTGAATACTTGATAAATGATGTGATTTTGAAATGTTTCATACATTTATAGGATAGAAGATGCTGATAATTCTGAAAAGAGTATAAATGAAGAAAATGGGGAAGTATCAGAAGACCAATCACAAAATAAACACAGTCGTCACAAAAAAAAGAAGCATAAACACAGAAGTAAACATAAGAAACATAAACATTCCTTGGAAGACGACAAGGATAAAAAACATAAACATAAGCATAAACATAAGAAGCACAAAAGAAAAGAGGTTATTGATGCTTCTGACAAAGAAGGCATGTCTCCGGCAAAAAGAACTAAACTTGATGATTTAGCTTTGCTAGAAGATTTGGAAAAACAGAGAGCCTTGATTAAAGCTGAACTTGATAATGAGTTAATGGAAGGAAAGGTACAATCTGGGATGGGGCTGATACTACAAGGTTATGAGTCTGGTTCTGAAGAAGAAGGAGAGATTCATGAAAAGGCAAGAAATGGAAATAGGTCTAGTACTAAATCTTCAAACATGAAGGGGAAGCTTGAACTTGCGGACAATAAAAATAGTGCAAAAAGACGAAGTAAAAGCAGATCCAAAGAACGGACTAGACATAGATCTGATAAAAAGAAAAGTAAGGGAGGTGTTGAAATAGTTAAAGAGAAAACAACTAGAAGCAAGTCAAAGGAGAGGAAAAAGTCCAAAAGTCCATCCAAAAGAAGTAAGTCTCAAGATCAAGCAAGAAAATCGAAATCTCCTACCCTTAGAAGGCGATCTCAAGAGAAAATTGGAAAGCCCAGATCTCCTACTGATGATAAGATTAAAATTGAAGATAAAAATAAGTCGAAAGATAGAAAAAAATCCCCAGTTATAAATGAAAGTAGAAGTCGAGATCGAGGCAAAAAATCCAGATCCCCAGTTGATTTAAGAGGTAAATCCAAAGACCGAAGGTCACGGTCCAAAGAAAGAAAATCAAAACGTTCTGAAACTGATAAAGAAAAGAAGCCAATTAAGTCTCCCTCTAAAGATGCATCTTCTGGGAAAGAAAATAGATCACCCAGTAGAAGACCTGGTCGTAGTCCTAAAAGAAGAAGTGTATCCCCAAAACAACGTGATAAATCAAGAAGAAGTAGATCTCCACTTTTAAATGATAGAAGATCTAAGCAGAGCAAATCACCTTCTCGAACTCTGTCTCCCGGTAGAAGAGCCAAGAGCCGATCCTTAGAAAGAAAACGAAGAGAACCAGACAGAAGGCGACTTTCTTCTCCAAGGTAACTTGTTAATACTTTTTACCAATGCACCAGATAATACGGGAGAAACTAGAACTTGTGGACAATTAAAGTGAAATTGTGAGTTTCGTGATTTTATGTATAAAATTACACATATTAACTATATTGATATTTGCACTTTTTGTCAACGAATATCTTGATGCCGGTTGTTTTAGAAACACTGAGCTTCGTGACAGAATCAATTTTTTGGTTTAAGTTAATTTAATTTGGTATCTAGTTTGCTAAATCATTCCTTTAAGTCCAGATAATTTGACTGACTGAATCTATATACACCCATTTATTTGGAGGTGGGGTGGGGGTTACTACTTAATTGGAGAGTGTAGGCAGAAACTTCTAACTTTAAGGATTGTGATCTATGGTGTTTCTCTTATTTTACATGATTTTGAATTTTAACAGTATAAATTGAAACTAACATCAGTTTTTTAGCCCTAAAAATATAATTAAATTTAAAGTGGGCGTTTTTTCTGTCACCATATAATCTCATTATTGAAAAAGTAGTAGCTCTTAAGAAATTTAGAAAGAATAGTGTAAGAAATGATTTTGTTTTGTACCAGTAACAATAATAGATTATATTTGTGTAATATGTTCAGTTTATCACAGTTCTTTGTCATAAATTCTCATGTGACTAGGTTAACTCCTGAGATACTTTTGTATTTTATTTTTATTATTGATGTTTATAAATGAGGAAGTAGATTCAAAGAGGTTATAACATTTACCTAGGATCTAATTAAGGTACAGAAAGGATGATTTTTTTTGTTTTGTTGGACCAGTGTAAACTACTTTGGAAACTGATTTTTCAGTATCTGCCTTACATTCAGTAATTATGTATTGTGAAATTATCAACCAAGTTTTGCTCATTAAAACACTGTCAGCTTACACTGTGTAAAAATACTATTAATTCCTAGACCTTATATTCATATTAATGTTTATTGAGGTTTTTAATCATTTTCAGAGAAATTTGAAGAATGTTGTTTCAAAGTGCTCTAGTCTTGGAGACTCATTCTTCTACAGACATAGTGAATTTAAATGAGCCCCTTTTCCTTTAGCTTTCTGCATTGAGGCAGTTGCAAGTGTTACTGGTTCTGTTATCTAAAATTCTGGTAGTCTTTCAGTTTGAGGAAGAAATCTGAGGACTTTATTAAGAACTAGAGCTGAGCGTATGAAACAATTTTTTTTTTTTTTTAATGTATAGAACAGGTACATACTAATTAATGAAAAATTCAAATATTGCAGAAGCATATAAAATTCTTTCCTTCTCCACTTCTTTTTCTGTGTACAATTATGTAAGTTTTTTCTTATTAAAATGGTGTAGTACTTTCATAGGCTTTGCTTTTTCACAAAATACTTCCATGACAATACATACAGATCTTTTTTTATTCTTTGTAAGAGCAACATGGTTTTTCACACTGTAGGTGTACCAAATTTGTTAATCATTCCCTTTTGAAAACTGATGATATTTTGGTCCCAGGTTTTCACTATTATATGCAGAGATACCCATTGATTATGTGTGAGGTTTCTTTTAGACTCGTAGAAGTGAAATTGCAAAGTGTAAGGGTTTGTACTTTTTTTTTAAATCTAAGTTTCCTAGATTACTGGTAAGGTTGAACATTTTTAATTTTTCATGCATTTAAGGAGATAAAAACACTGTTCCTCCTTCCATGCTGTTTTACTTTATCCCAACCCTTTACATTTTTTTAATCAGTCTTTGCTTTGAGGAATGTGTACGTGTGTGTATATGCATCTGCTCAGATGTTCCTACCAAGAAATACTACAGATCTGAGTCAAAGTCTGCCTTGCCCATTTTTCCGGACTCATAAAAAGATAATTTCAGTGTCTGTACACTGTGTCTAAAAATGTAAGGCAGGTTGTGTTTTTACATTTTTATTAAATGGAAAAAATGTTGTAATCTGTTGTTATTATTTAATTATACAGACAAACGTATTTACAGGCCAGCCTGACTATTCAGGGTGAATAGTCCTATCCAAATCTGGAACAACATTAAAGAAATTTCCAAAACCTGTTTTAAAAAATTAAGTTGTAGGGAGGCCTGTTATAACACAGGTATCGTAATAAACAAGCTCAAGAATAAATTTGACGCATTAAACACTAATGACTGAAAACCAGATGAGATGTGGAATGACATCAAGGACATCGTACACGAAGAAAGCAAAAGGTCATCAAAAAGAGAGGAAAGAAAGAAAAGATCAAAATGGATATCAGAAGAGACTCTGAAACTTGCCCTTGAATGTAGAGTAGCTAAAGTGAACAGAAGAAATGATGAAGTAAAAAAGGCTGAACAGAAGGTTTCAAAGGGCAGCTCAACAAGACAAAGTAAAGTATAATAAAATGTGCAAAGATCTGGAGTTAGGAAACCAAAAAGGAGGAACACGCTTAGCGTTTCTCAAGCTGAAAGAACTGAAGAGAAAATTCAAGCCTCGAGTTGCGGTGTTGAAGGATTCTACAGAGAAAATATTGAATGACATGGGAAGCATCAAAAGAAGGTGAAAGAAATTCAGTCACGGTACCGAAAAGAATTGGTCAACATTCAGCCATTTCAGGAGGTAGCGTACGATCAAGAATTGATGACACTGAAGTAAGAAGTCCAAGCTACACTAAAGGCACTGGCAAAAAACAAGGCACCAGGAATTGATGGAATAAGAATTGAGATATTTAAACAAATGGATGCAGTGCTGGGAGTGCTCAGTCGTCTGTGCCAAGGAATTTGGAAGACAATTACTTAGCCATCCAACTAGAAGAGATCCATATTTGTGCCCATTCTAAAGAAAGGTAATCCAACAGAATGTGGACATTATAGAATAATATCACACACGAAGTTTTGCTGAAGGTCATTCAAAAGCGGTTACAGCAGTACATCGACAGGGAACTGCCAGAAATTCAGGCGGGATTCAGAAGAGGATGTGGAATGAGGGATATCATTGCTGATGTCAGATGAATCTTGGCTGAAAGCAGAGAATACCAGAAGGACGTTCACCTGTGTTTTATTGACTATGCAAAGGCATTAGACTGTGTGGATCATAACAAATTATGGATAACGTGAAGAATGGGAATTCTAGAACACTCAACTGTGCTCATGTGGAACCTGTACATAGACCAAGAGGCAGTCGTTCAGACAGAACAAGGGGATACTTTGTGGTTTAAGGTCAAGAAAGGTATGCATCAGGGTTGTATCCTTTCACCATATTTACTCAATCTGTATGCTGAGCAAATAATTCGAAAAGCTGGACTCTTATGAAGATCGTGACATCGGGATTGAAGGAAGACTTATTAATAACCTGTGATATGCAGATGGCACAACCTTGCTTGCTGAAAGTGAAGAGGACTTCAAGCACTTATTGATAAAGATCAAAGACTACAGCCTTCAGTATGGATTAGACCTCACCGTAGAGAAAACAAAATTCCTCACAACTGGACCAGTAAGCAACATCGTGATAAATAGTGAAAGTACCGAAGTTGTCAAGGATTTCATTTTACTTCGATCCACAATCAGCACCCATGGAAGCAGCAGTCCAGAAATCCAGCAACGTATTGCATTGGCAGATCTGCTGCAAAAGACCTCTTTAAAAGGTTCAAAAGCAGAGATGTCACTTTGAAGACTAAGGTTCACCAGACCCAACCTATTTAAAAAAAAAAAAAAAAACATTGCCGTCGAATCAATTCTGACTCATAGCAACCCTATAAGACAGAGTAGAACTGCCCCATAGGGTTTCCAAGGAGCAGCTGGTGAATTCAAACTGCCAGCCTTTTGGTTAACAGCCGTAGTTCACTGTAGCTCTTAACCACTGCGCCATCAGTGCTCCACACTTGACCCAAGCCGTGGTATTTTCAGTTGCCTCACATGCATCCGGAGGCTGGACAATGAATAAGGAAGACCGAGGAAGAATTGACACCCTTGAATTGTGGCGTTGGTGAAGAATATTGAATATACCATGGGCTGTCAAAGGAACAGATATCTGTCTTGGAAGAAGTGCAAGAGTGCTCTTGAGAATCAGGGATGGTGAGACTATGTCTCACATACTTCGGACGTGTTATCAGCAGAGATCCGTTCCTGGAGGACATCATGCTTGGTAAAACGGAGGGTCAGCATAAAAGAGGAAGACCTGAGATGGATTGACACAGTGGCTGCAACAGTGGGCTCAAGCATAAGAACAATTGTGAGGATGGCACAGGACTAGGCGGTGTTTTGTTCTGTTGTATGTAGTGTGCTATGAGTCGGAACCAAGTTGAGAGCACCTGACCACAAAACTTATTGGAAGGTGCTTGTAATACACGTGTTGAAAAGTCACCTTGGAGTAAGAGAGACTGAGAGGATTACCGTATTTGCTCAGTTTTAAGGTTAACATTGATTGTAAGCTGCTTTTATACTTAACTGACATTAACAATAAGACTCTTCATTGCATAAATGTCAAAATGTAGAAAGAAAAAAGTCTTCAGATTGAAGAAATGCAATAGTAATACTCACTTGGGCATGTTTTATTTGCCCTGTTCATCTGAAATTGGATCATTGGCTTAAACGATATGAATAACCTTCAATAATTGTTCATATTGCAAGACCTAAGGAAATGGACCTTTTATTAACACTGAAATGTCATTGTGATCATCTAAACTTGTTTTATTTAAAAATGCATTAATTGTTTTCTGTCTTTAGGTGTGTCATTCCCGAACAGGTTGTTTACATGTGAAAGAAATTCATTTAGTTTGATTTATTTTTGTATTAACTTGTTTTGGTTCCCTTAAGAACACGACCTCGAGATGATATCCTCAGTAGACGGGAAAGATCAAAAGATGCCAGCCCGATCAATAGGTGGTCTCCAACCCGAAGAAGAGCAAGTAGATCTCCCATTAGAAGGAGATCTCGTTCCCCACTCAGACGTAGCAGGTCTCCCAGAAGAAGAAGCAGGTCTCCTCGGAGAAGGTAAACATATGGTACACGTTATCCTTTTGAAATATGAAACTCTGAACGTTTTTGAAGCTGCATGTTACCTCAGCTGGTAGGTTTTCTTATAGACTGTTTTTTGCTGTGAAAAATTGTTGGAGTTGTGATCCTGTATGGTTTTCTTTTACCAGCATGTGATAGTTTACACCCATTGATTTTTCTTTTATATAGTTTTCCTTCAGATTTAAACAAATTTGCTCACTAAAAACTCATTAATCCTTTAAAAGTAGATCATTTTTTTCTCTTTTTGTAGGAGAAAAATGCTGAATGAGCTAGGCTTAGAGATTATTTTTTTAACCAGCAAGATAAATCACAGAGTGGTAAAAATATAGCCCAGTTTTCTGTCATTTTATAATTGTAGTTCTGTAAATTGATACTTCCTGAAGATCTTCAGGCAGAGACCTATTTAATGTATAGTAGAAACTTTTATCTGAAGCACACATAGTAGGTTGGTTAATCAAAAAGCTTTGTTTTTAAAGCAGATAATTTTAAAATATCGACATATATAATAAATATTTTAAAAGTGGACATTTATTTGTCGGTCTTTAAACATTTTAAATTAAAGTGTAATGCATGAATATAGTTTAAAAAGGCAGCACACCAAAGGCTCATATTATAGCCAACGAATATATTTTTCATAGTATTTCTGAAGGCTAGATTTCTAGACGTGGAAATGTGTGGTCTAAGGGTGCGTACATTCAAATTTTTTAAAGTTACTGCTATATTATCTATTGATTTCCTACTTTGAACAATAAGTTTTTTAATACTGCTCCACACACGTTTCTCTTTTGCCTAGTTTCATGACATATTTGTATGTTTCAACAATCAGTAAAATCATTGGTATGATCTTCTGAATTTTGTTCATTGCTGAGCAAATAGTAGGGTAGGTGTGAGGACAGGGATTGAGGGAGGAGCTTAAAGCTAATCTCTAGGCCTGTTTATACAGTTATCTTTCTAGAATTTGTTTTCCCTTTTCCATTATCTGTATATTCCTTTGTTTCTCACCTGTGTTGGCTTCCATTTCCTGTATCCAGTGTCATCTTTTCATGGTTTTACTCCTTTGTTTTGCTGGTGCATCTCCATTAGCTTCCTAAGTGAGTGGAAGGCAAATTTTTCAGGACCTTATATCTTTTATTCTTATTGCTAGTAAGGAATAGAATTCTGATTTGAAATCGTTTTCCTTAGGAATTTTTAAATTGTTGTCCTGTTAATTTCTAGTTTCCAGTATTGCTACTGAGAAGTCAGTACTATTCTGGATTCTGCACATTATGATGTGACTTGCTTCTTATTTTTCCTCTCCCTCTTTCGGGATTTTTTAGGATTATTTACTAGTTTGTTTATTTTTAAAGTAAATATGTTCTGACATTTCACTATGATATGCCTTGGTGTGTAGATCTTTTCTCCATTTATTTTGCTGGGCACTTGGTAGGCCCTTTGAATCAGGAGGGTTATAGCCTACTATTCTGGGATATTTTCTTGTATTATTTTATTTCTTCCCATTATATCCTGTATTTCCCAGTTGGACCATCTGTGTTGGTCCACTCGTTATTTTTTCTCACTCGTCTTCCGTGTTTGTCCTTGTGTTCTGCTTTCAGTCTAGGAGATGTTCTTTCTCATTCCACTTTCTCAGCCTTCTATTGAATTTGCTTTTATTTCTACACTCATTAATATATATTTTTTTTATTTCTAAGACCTTGTTAGCTGTTTATCTTTCATGAGATTTTGCTCTTTTTTTATGGAGGTAGCATCTCATCTCAGACAATAATTTAATTTGTGGGATTTTGTTCTCTATAGTTTTCTTCTGTCCCCTATACTTTGTGTCTTCCCAGATTCTTTTTTTTTTGCTGTTTCCCTTTCATTTGAAGACTTTCTCAAACAGCTGGCATCCTTGATTGACTTTTTGTTTGGATTTAAAAGTTAGGTACTAAGAAAGCTGAATGGGAGTTTGTGTGCATATGTATTGTTGTTGTGTGCCATTGAGTCAATTCTGACTCATAGCAACCATATAGGACAGAGTAGAACTGCCCCATAGGGTTTCCAAGGCTTCAGTCTTTACAGAAGCAGATTGCCACATCTTTCTCCCGCAGAGCAAGGGTTAGCAGCCACCTGCTTAACCATTGTGCCACCAGGGTTCCCTGTGAACATGTGTAGACTTGTCAGCTAGTGGGTTTCACTTCAGGGTTACTTGTTAGTTGCTGTTAAGTCACTTCCAACTCATGGTGACCCCATGTGTGTCAGAGAGCTGCTCCACGGAGTTTTCAAGGCTGTGACCTTTCAGAAGCAGATTGCCAGGCCTGTCTTCCGAGACACCTCTGGGTGAGTTCGAACCACCAACGTTTCAGCTAGTAGTTGACAGCTTAACTGTTTGTGCCGCCCAGGGACTGGATATCAGTGTCTTCGGCTGGTAAGTTTTCTGGAATCCTCTAATCTCCTGCAGTGAAATATAGGTCTGGCTGCCAGCAGAGACCTCCACTTAATCCCTCTGTTTTTCAGTACAGTGCCTCCCCTGTGCCTTGTGCCAGTTTTTATAACGGCCAACACCTCTCCAGAAAGTAAGTCTTAAGTGTTCTGTTAGAAACGTGAAGGGGGTGGTTGGCATTTTGATTTACAGTCGAGCTCTTCCTTTTAAAGGTTTTCAGCCGGTTCTATTTTCTGCTTTCGCCTCCCACTCCATCCTTCAGAGGATATTGGTGCCTCAGATTCTTGACTTGTTCTTGTTCACCTGTCTATTCCTATTGGATGCATGTTTAGCTTCATTTGATCTGTTACTGCTCTTCCATTTATTTTGCATGTTTCAAAATTTTCTTGCAACCACTGATGTCATCTCTCTTTACATTCTCTTTGCCTGCAGATTTTTCTTTATAATTGTTCTTTTACCGTCATTCTAGTGGGGTTTCAGAAGAAATCAGATAAATATAGTAATTAAATGTGACATTTAACAGGGAGCTTGACTGTCCTTCAGTATGTCGACCCGCAGCCTTTTCTGTTTGGAGTTCGTCAGTCTTTCCAGCCTTAATGCTTGAACTGTAATATCAGCTTCTGTTTGTTTAACATAAGGCAGTTAACATTGGGCATTTATAAAAATATCTGAGGGCCATATTAGATTTTGAGGATTTTTATCGCGTTTATCAGCAGCATTCTTTTTTTTAGTTAGGTTTATTGAAACATCATTTGTGTACAGTAAAATTACTGTTGTCTGAGTTTAAGCACATGCAATCATATAATCACCGTGGTTAAGAAGAAGACCCATTTTCATCACCCTAAAAATTTTCGAGTGCCCTTTTGTAGTTAGTCTCTCACTTCACTCTGGTCTTTGGCAACCACTCATCTGTTTTCTGCCCCTATAGTTTTCAACTTAGTTTTCATAAGAGTAACTCCTCTTTTTACACCCTTATTTCATCAGTTTACATAATAATGTAATTTAAAATTTCCGAAGTACAGCCAGCGCATAAACAAGTTAGAAAACAAACACAGCTGACTCTTGGTAATCATGTAACTCAGCTGGTCAGACCAGAAAGAAGTCTACTAGTTTTTACTCTGTTAATCATCAGCAAGTATATACAGCACCTTTGTATGCACCACATCTTGATGCTGGAAGAATACAAAAGAAACAGTAGATATATGTTTATTCCCATAGAGCTTATTACATTCAAGTTCATATTTATGAGAGACATTATTAAGTTTAAAATTTGATAAGAACAGTAGCTATGTTTTTGTTTTCATCAGGTAAGCTGATTATCCCAATCTTTCTGATATTTTGTTATTTTTATTTTCCTTTTAAAAATATATCTGTTTTTTCTCTTCAAATAGAGACAGAGGTCGGAGGAGCAGATCACGTTTGAGAAGGCGGTCTCGATCACGAGGTGGCCGTAGACGGAGAAGCAGAAGTAAAGTAAAGGAAGATAAATTTAAAGGAAGCCTTTCTGAAGGAATGAAGGTTGAGCAAGAATCTTCATCTGATGATAAGTAAGAATAGACTTCCCTGTAATAATTTCCTTTTTTCAGTTTAGAGAAATACTGTTAGACTTGGAAATCTTTAAATAATTTCCACCTGAATATCATAAGTGAATCCCTTAGTTTGGTCCTGAATTCAACTTTTGTGGCTATTATGTAAGTCATATGGCAGAGGTAGTAGCTTTCCTAACTTAAGGCTTCAGTTTTGGCTGAAGTGAACATTGGGCCATCCCTTTATTATGACCCTTCCTTCTTTATTAGGAACAACAGATGTATTTTTGGTAATCAATCCTGCCTATCTAAGTTACTAGGATTTTTCTTTTTTTTGGTAGAGCGGACGGTTTATACAAACTTTTGACTTTTTGATTTGTGTTAAATGATACGTATTTTCATTTGAGGCTATCTGGTGGCAGATATACCTGTAAGTATGTGAAAACACAGAAACATTTCAGTGTCCAATAAAATAGTGGGAAAATTTTTTTTTAAGTGCAGACTTGGTTGTCTAAATAGAACGTCTCAGAAATAAAGATTGTGGAGAGAGGAATTCTTTGGGAAACAAGTGGGGGAGGTTGGCGCAGTGCTTTAAGGTAGAGTGAAATGCCCCTTCAGCTTATATGCAGATGTTTACTTGTGCATTTTTAATGGGAAAAGGATCTGTAGCTTTCATGAGATTTCAAAGAATTCTGTGACCCAGCAAAGGTAACAGTTTACATACCTGTCCCAGCCCTGTCGTTTTATAGATGAGAAAACAGGAAGGTTAAATGATTTTTCTAAGATATTGACAGAGTCAGCCATGACTCTTTGAGACGTAAGGGCTTTCTTTTGTCCCTAGTTTTGGTGCCATGGAATAGGTGAGGAGAAAACTGAGACACAGGAGGGTTAACTTGCTTGCCAGGTTTCCAAACCAGGAAACTGAAATAATTTAGAAACAAGAATTAAGGGAATAATTCATCAAAGAAGACATTCAGATGGCCACCAAACACATAAAAAGATGCTCAGTGTCATCAGCCGTCAGAAAGATGCAGATCAAAACCACAATGATATACCATTTTATTCCCACTAGGACAGCTAAGGGTCCCTGGTGGTGCAGTGGTTAAGAGCTCGGCTGCTAACCAAAAGGTCAGCAATTTGAATCCACCAGCTGCTCCTTGGAAACCTCATGGGGCAGTTCTACTCAGTCCTGTAGGGTTGCTGTGAGTCAGAATCAACTTGACGGCAACGGGCTTGAGGTTTTTTTTAGGATGGCTAAGATAAAAAAAGAGAAAATAACAAATGTTGGCAAGGATGAGGGGAAATTGGAACCCTTATCCATTGCTGGTGGGAATGCAAAATGATACAGCCGTTGTGGAAAACAAGTGTCGCGGTTCCTCAAAAAACTAAAAATAAAACTACCATATGACCCAGCAATTCCACTCATAGGTATATACCCAGAAGACTTGAAAGCAGAGACGCAAACAGACTTCTACATCAGTGTTCATTGCAGCACTATTCGCAGTAGCCAAAAGGTGGGAACAACCTAAGTGTCTGTCAACAGGTGAATGGATAAACAAAATGTGGTACATAACATACAATGGAATACTACTCAGCCAGTAGGAAAAATGATGTCTTGATACATGCTACAATGTGGATGGAACTGTAAGACGTTATGTTGAGTGAAATAAGTCAGTGACAAAAGGACAAATACCATATGATCTCATTTATGTGAAAAGAAAATGCAAAATGTATAGAGAACAGAGTTTATTAGTGGTTACCATGGGCAGTAGGGAGAAGGGAAGAGACAGTTAACAGTGATGGAAATATTATGTTGATTAAGGTGGTATAGTGATTAAGAGCTACATCTCTTAACCAAAAGGTTGGCAGTTCATATCCACCAGGTGCTTCTTGGAAACTCTATGGGCTAGTTCTACTCTGTCCTACAGGGTCACTATGAGTCGGAATTAACTCGACAACGGGTTTTTTAAGGGTAGGGTTGCACAGCCGATTATTGTAATTGCTATCAATAAGGTGTACACCTGTAAGAAGTGGAATTGGCAATAGTTCTGTATTCACAATGAGAAAAAAGAGGAGCTGCTGAGGTTGCTTATGTACAACCAAATACCTCATGGGATTTGGTTCTTTGGAGGTTTACGGTTATGGCTTCATGGCACATCTCTGTTAATTGGCCTAATATGTTCAGTGTATCTGTTCCACTTCCTAGTTTGTTACATAGTGCCTGGGATCTTAAAAGCTTGCAAGTGGCCATCCAAGGCACAATGATTGGTGTCTGTTCTCCTGGAGCAACAGAGGAATAAAGAGGAGGAAATGGAATTGTGGCTCATTGCCTCCACGAACAACTGCCTTCTTTGCCATGAGACCAGAACTGGATAGTGCCCAGCTACGATTACTGAACATTTTGATCAAAGATTCTGTAGAAGAATGCTGATCAAAAAGGGGAAAATGAATAACAGAGTTTCAAATTCTCATAAATTCCAAACTTTCTGGATCCTGTGAGACTCCATGAACCCCAGAAACTATAGTCCTAAGATAATCTTTAAATCTTAAACTAAAAATATCCCCTGAAGTTGTCTTAAAACTAAAAAATAGTCTAGCTTAACCAGTAACGACTGCCTGCCTTGAGCATTGTGTTCTTTTCACATATGTCTACATGGGACCAAATTGACAACAGCAACTTGAAAGATTAGATAGGAATCTTAGGGGGCAGTGAGTTTATATTAATGATGGAGGAACAGCTCAGAAAAGGAGGGTGAGAATGGTTTCATAACTGGGAGAATGTAATCAGTGTTACTGAATTGTATGTGTAGAAGCTTGAATTGGTGTATTTTTTGCTGTGTATGTTTTCAGTAACAACAAAAAATGAATTATTTTTTAAAAAGAAGAAAGAATAAGTGGCTTAAGACATCTTCTCTAACCTAATGATGACCTGCGTTTTCCAACCTTTAATATTACAATGTATAAAAGTTATGACTCGGCTGCTAACCAAAAGTTCAGCCATTCGAACCCATCCACCGCTCCACAGGAGAAAGATGTGGCAGTCTGCTTACATAAAGACAGCCTTGTCAACCCTGTGGGACAGTTCTCCTCTGTCTATAGGATCGCTATGAGTGAGTTGACTTGATGGCAATGAGTTTGCTTTTTTTTTGGTTTTTGGAAGTTTGGATGCTTGAAATTATATATGTGTGTTTGTTTTTTTTTAAAGCCTTGAAGACTTTGATGTAGAGGAAGAAGATGAGGAAGCCCTGATAGAACAGAGAAGAATACAAAGGCAGGCAATTGTTCAAGTATGTGGTATTAGTAAAATTTTGATCAATCTTCCTGTTAAGTAATCACTATTCTAGTAAAATGAAGATATTTTTATTTTAATAAAGAAGTGACCTAGTAGTAGCAGTTGAATGGATCTGAAAAAAAGGAGAGTATATATAAAATTTTTCGTGAGATTTGAAAAGGTAGTTTCTTCAGTTATTAAAGCTGAGATGATAGAATTCTGATAAAAACTTACTTTTGTAAGACATGAAAATTTTAGGTTTACTTTTTTTTTTAAGAAAGCCCTCAGAAATGAGTGTAATAAATTGGAGGAATTTCATTTAGCCAAAAGTAGTCATGCCTGTCACTGTGTCACAGAAGCATTTTAGTGACTGACAAAATAATGGCACTTTTTTTAAATGCAAACGTATCTGTTTAAATGGAACATCTCAATTTTAAGATTGAGTTAGAACTAAATGATTAATAAAATTGGGTGGGGAAGGATGTTATACGAAATCCTGACATGGTCATTTAATAAAAAGGTTTGCTGAAGATCGTCAGTTCTTCCTTGGCCATACTGAGGTAAAGCCGCAGCCACCGGATCCTTTGTGGGCTGCCAACCCCTATAAAATGACTTCTCTCATGATGATCAGGAGAGTTTTCTTAGAATGGGAAGGCGAGTGATGGAGTTAGGAGAGAGAATTGTGAAAGAGATGAAAAATACATTTGGATACTATAAGAAGGACAGCAGAAAAAAAGGAAAGAACTGCCATGGCAGCTCACCTAATGCATGTAACAAACCAAAAATCAGGTGACAGTATGTCACAGTGAAGGAAAGAACTTGAATCAGAGAGGAGTAGGGAAGGTACTGTAAATAATCAGAAGCCTTATGGTTTGTGTCTTTTGCAAGGGCCCAATGGGAATTCCCAAGGAAGCTTACTTTACTGGGACACTGGTGAAATTGTGATTAAACTGATATCCCTGAAGACTTGGTTGAATCTTCTTTTGTTCTTGCCCAGGTCCACAATCCCTTATTTCCAACCCTTTGGGCCAGATGTTCTTCAGAACCCAGAATGTTTTGAATTGTAGAAAGGTAATAGTACGGTGCATATATGTATATTACTTAATACCATCAGTGAGATTTGGAGCAGCACCCCATAATCAACCCCATGAGTATTTCTGCAGTGAGGCATATTAATATTCACACTGAAGGGGCTTAATAAGACTATAAAAAGCCTCAACACCTGGTCAGTTTTTGCCACCTGATGTGTGTTGTGCACCAAGCAAGGAAAAAACTTGTTCAGAGTTTTGTGGATTTTGGCTTTACGTATAAGGGATTGTGGATCTGATTCAACCCAAGGTGTCACTACTCTTTTTTTTTTTTTTTCCTTTTTACATTGTATGATACGTACTCTTTTCAATTCAGCAACTCTTAGCAAATTAATATGTTCAGATAGCATCAGATTTGATGAAAATAACACATTGGATTGTTATTACAGAAATACAAATACCTTGCTGAAGATAGCAATATGTCCGTGCCATCTGAACCAAGCAGCCCCCAGAGCAGTACCCGTACACGATCTCCTTCTCCAGATGACATTTTGGAACGTGTAGCTGCTGACGTTAAAGAGTACGAACGGGAGAACGTTGATACATTCGAGGCCTCAGTAAAAGCCAAGCATAATCTCATGACAGTTGAACAGAATAATGGTAAGATTATTTTTGTTTTGACATTAGCATGGTTTTCACTGAATTTTTAGCTCTATAAGTTTATATTGAGAGACCTTATTTAGGATTAGAGAAAAGTGAAAGAGATTAGGAATGTTGCTTCTGCTAAGTATAACAATATTATATTAAATGTACCCAGTGAATGCTGTCAGTGTTTTTCATTAGTTCACATATACTGGATAATATACTGAACTCACGTAGCCATTACCATTTTGCATTTTGTTAGAGTATGTTAAAGCAAATCTGAGCTGTGATTTCATTACAACTATAAATCAGTTTTTTTCTCTAGCAGGTAAACTTTAAAAAACATTTCTTATCATACATAATAAAAATGGATAATTATTAAATGTCATTTAACTGGTTTGTTTGAGTCAGAATCCAAAACAAGGATGCATACGTTGCATTTTAGGTATATATCTATAAGTCTCTCTTAGTCTTTAATAGTTTTTCCTTCCCATCCTTTTTCTTTCCCCCTCATGCCATTTGCTTGTGAGGATACCAGGTCACGTAGTCTATAAAACTTTTTACCCTGATTCTGGCTGGCCATACATTTCTGTCACGTAACTCATTTCCTTTATCTCCAGTATCTCTTGCAGACCTTCAAGAATTCGGTAGACTTAGGCTTGATTTTTTGGCAAGAATGTTTCATAGGTGTACTGGGTACTTGCATCACATCTGGTGTGGCACATGATGTTTAGTTGTCCTGTTTTTGTTGACATTAATATTGATTTGGTGTTTAGATAGATGATGACCAGTGGGACTTTATTTGTTGTTGGGATTTTTATTGTCTGGTACCATTATGTAGTTGATGGTGTTTCAATCTATTATTGTCATCTTTCTTGTTGAAGCTCAAATTGTTCTCTCCTCATCCAGGATGGGGCAGGATCCCCTTTAAGTTGGTTTCTAATGTCCTTTTCAACCAGCCCCTTTAGTAATTTCTAGCACAGGGGTCAGCAGATTTTTTCTACAAAGGATCAGTTAGTAAATATTTTAAACTTTAGTATATATTTTAGACTTACTTTCTCCTTTCCAGCTACTAAACTCTGCTGTTGTAATTCAAAAGCAGCCATGACATATATCAATGAATGAGTATGGCTGTGTTCTAGAAAAGCTATTTATGGGCACCAAAATTTGAATTGCATATACTTTTCATGTGTCACAAACTATTATTCTTTTGATTTTTTTTTTTTTTTGGTCCCAAGCATTTAAAGATATAAATCTAGCTCATTGGGCCATGAAAAAACAAGCTGTTGGCCAAGGTTGATAGCTCTTGTTCTAGCTCAGTAAGATGTCACAGGCTCATCCTCTACATGTCTTGCCCCAGAATTAAAATCTCATTTCTCCATAGAACTTGCTTCCATTTAATAGGAAATGTCATTTAGAGATCACGATTTGGGCACCTAGAGGTGCCTATTGCTTCTGTGTCCTTTCAGTGGACAAAGCTGGAAATAATGTGCTTTTTTTCTGAAAAGGAAGAGCCCATACTAATACTGTCAATCAGATTTGAGATTATACGTTTTTTACTAACTTCTTAGATTTTATCTTTGTATCTCTTCTCTTGGAGTCCTTGGGTGGTACAAACGGTTAAACACCCAACTGCTAGCCAAAAGGTTGGCAGTTCGAACTCACCCAGAGGTTGCCTCAGAAGACAGGCCTGGTGATCTGCTTCCAAAAGGTCATAGCCTTGAAAACGCTATGGGTTAATTTACTCTGCACACATAGGGTCACCATGAGTCGGAATCAACTGGATGGCAACTAATAATGTTAATGTACTACTGATTCATTATTACTTTAAAAGTTTTATACACATGTACACATATCCTGCTATTATCAGTATTAAATGTAGTGAATGCAGTTTGAAAGTTCAGTTCTTTTTGTTCTTAGGGTATATTCCAAAGTGTATAGTCAATATTTTAAAGTCATTTGAAATAATTCTTGTGTGGTTATACCACCAGTCTGATATACAGTCAGTTTTATTTATTTCTGTTTGCTTTTAAGTTTTAGGAGGTTTTTTTATTATTATTTCTTTTCTTTTATTATTGTACTTCAGGTAAAGGTTTCCACAGCAAATATTTTCTCATTAAACAGTCAGTACACATATTGTTTTATGACATTGGTTAACAGCCCCACGACCTGTCAACACGTTCCTTTCTCACCCTTGGAGGACTCTTTTTTTAAATTTTTATTTATTTGGTGAAAATATATATAGCCAAAGATACATCACTTCAAAAATTTCTTCATATGCAATTCAGTTACGTCGATTATGTTCTTCCAGTTGTGCTGCTCTTACTCACTTTAGATGAAAGTTTATAGAACGAAATAGTTTCTCATTAAACAGTTAGTACACATATTGCTCTATGACAATAATTAAGAACCCCACTACATGTCAACACTGTCCTTACTCAACCTTGGGTTCCCTATTACCAGCTTTCCTGCCCCTTTCTGCTTTCTAGTCCTTGTCCCTGGACTGCTGTATCACATTAGTCCCGTTTTCTTTTATGGGGCTGTCCAGTCCCCAGCTGAATGGTGAAGCTCAGCACTGACTTCAACACTGAGCTAAAAGGGTGTCCAGGGGCCATACTCTTGGGGTTTCTCCAGTCTCTGTCAGGGCAGTAAATCTGGTCTTTTTTTGTGTTAGAATGTTGTTCTACATCCTTTTCCAGCTCTGTCCAGAACCCTCTGTTGTGATCCTGGTCACAGCAGTCAGGGGTGGTAGCCAGGCACCATCTACCTGTACTGGACTCAGTCTGGTGGAGACCTTGGTAGCTGTGGTCCATTAGTCCTTTGGACTGATCTTTTCCTTGTATCCTGTTTTCTTCATTCTCCCTTGCTCCAGAAGGGGTGAGACCAGTAGAGTATCTTAGATGGCTGCTCACAGGCTTTTAACCACAAATGCTACTCAGCAAGGTAGAATGTAGAACAATGTCTTTATAAACTGTTATGCCAGTTGAGCAAGATGTTTCCAGAGACCATGGTCCCCACAGCCCTCCACCCAGCAATTGAGTCCCTCAGGGAGTTTGGATGTGTCTGTGGAACTTCCATGACCTTTTCTTGTACAAGTTGTGCTGGCTTCCCCAGTATTGTGTACTGTTTTACCCTTCACCAAAGTTACCACTTATCTATTGTCTATTTCGTATTTCCCCACCACCCCTCCCATCCCTCGTAACCAACAAAGCTTGTTACATTTTTTTTTTTTATTGTACTTTGGGTGAAGGCTTGCAGAACAAATAGTCTCTCATGAAACAGAAGTACACATGTTGTTTTATGACATTGGTTAACAACGCCACAACATATCAACCCTCTAACTTCTCAACTTTTTTTTTTTTGGTGAAAATACATATAGCCAAAGATACAGCATTTCAGAAATTTCTACATGCACAGTTCAGTGACATTGACTACACTCTTCGAATAGTACTGTTATTCTCACTTAAGATAAAGGCTTACAGAACAAAATAGTTTCTTATTTAACAGTGACTACAAATGTTGCCCTATGACAATGGTTAACAATCTCACAACACATCAACAATATCCTTACTCAACCTTGGGTTCCCTAT